AATTAGAGTCCCAGAGAGGAAAAGGAATGAAATGTATAGATGCAAGAAGTTTAGGAAACCCCAAGCATGATACGTACAACAAAAGTTGTGATTATCTACATCACAACCTGCTGAAAAGCAAAAAAAGAAAAAATGTTGAGTAGCCACTGATAGTACCTGACAATACCCTTCCAGAATAAAAGCAATTCCAGAATTGATAAAGAACACTCAAAGCTCGGCTGGGTTTGGCTCACGCCTGTAATCCTAGCATTTTGGGAGGCCGAGGCAGGCGGACCACTTGAGGTCGGAAGTTCAAGACCAGCCTGGCCAACCCCGTCTCTACTAAAAATGGTGAAACGCCCTCTCTACTAAAAATAAAAAATTAGCTGGGTGTGGTGGCACGCGCCTGTAATCCTGGGTACTCAGGAGGCTGAAGCAGGAGAATCCCTTGAACCCGGGAGGCAGAGACTGCAGTGAGCTGAGATTGTGCCATTGCACTCCAGTCTGTGAATAAGAGCAAAACTCCATCTCAAAAACAAACAAAAAACAAAAACAAAAAATATATGTGTTACTACACACACACACACACACACACACACACACACACAAACGGATAGGCTGAACGTGAACGAGCAAAAAAGATCAACTAAATAAATAGTAGAAGTAAAATAAATAGTAAAAGAAGGCTAGAAGAGCTGTATAATAACAGATAAAGTAGACTTCAAGACAAAAATATGTATGTATTTATTTTTTTGAGACAGAGTCTTGCTCTGTCACCCATGCTGGAGTATGGTGGTGTGATCTCGGCTCACTGCAACCTCCACTTCCTGGGTTCAAGCCACTCTCCTGCCTCAGCCTCTCAAGTAGCTGGGACTGCAGGAGCCCGCCACCATGCCTGGCTAATTTTTTATATTTTTAGTAGAGACGTGGTTTCACTATGTTAGCCAGGATGGTCTCGATCTCCTGACCTTGTGATCTGATTGCCTCGGCCTCTCAAAGTGCTGGGATTACAGGCACGAGCCAGTGCACCTGGCTTTTTTTTTTTGAAGTGACTAGGTCTTACTCTGTCATCTAGGCTGGAGTGCAGGGGCACAGTCAGAGCTCACTACCACCTTGAGCTCCTGGGCTCAAGTAGTCCTCCTCTCCTGGCCTCCCAAAGTGTGTGTGCCACTGTACTGGGCCTTCAAATATTATCTGAGGAGAGATGGCTGATGCCAACCCTAATCTTGTTAAGTGATTGGCTTTTGTTTCTAAAACTGAGCTGTGATCTACTTTCATTCATTCACTGAGTTCCTCTCAGGTACCAGGATGGGTTTTAGGTTCTAGAAATACAGATGAGAATAACAGACCAAGTCCAAGAGCTTATTTCTTTCTTTTTTTTTTTTTTTGAGACGGAGTTTTGCTGTTGTTGCCCAGACTGGAGTGCAATGGCGCGATCTCGGCTCACCGCAACCTCCGCCTCCTGGGTTCAAGCAATTCTCCTGCCTCAGCCTCCCAAGTAGCTGGGACTACAGGCACGCACCATCATGCCCAGCTAATTTTTGTATTTTTAGTAGAGACGGGGTTTCACCATGTTGACCAGGATGGTCTCGATCTCTTGACCTCGTGATCCACCCGCCTTGGCCTCCCAAAGTGCTGGGATTACAGGCTTGAGCCACCGCGCCCGGCCCTAGCACTTATTTCTGATGAGTGGAGGAGACAGCCCTTCAGATGGAGATTGGTTCGCTGGAGGCTGAACGTGGTAAACATGGTCGGGGGGAATCACCTGGGCAAGGGGAGGGGCTACTATATTATACAAGGTGAATTAGGGACATTTGAGCAGACAGTAGATACCTACAGGGAGTGAAGGAAACAGCCACGCATTGATTGATCTGCAGACTGAGAAATAGCAAATGCCACCTCATAAGCAGGAGGGGGCCTGTTGTGTGCCAGAACAGCTCAGGGGATCAGGGTGGCTGCAGTGGGGGTAGAGGGGAATACTACATCATGGAGAACCCTGTGGGCTCCAAAGTCCCTGAAGGGCTTTGGCCTCTGCCTGGGATGAAGGGAATCTCTGAGGTTTTAGGCAGAAGACAGACGTGAACTGCCTTCAGTCTTAAAAAGGACTCACCTATGGAGAGCAGACACACGAGGAGGGGGAGAGCTTCAGCAGGGAGGGTGCTGTGTAACTAAGACAAAGATGCTGGCGGCGGTAAGGCTGAGAAATGGCCAGACTGGGGATACACTTTTGGAGCACATGTTCATGAGATGGTTTTCAGATATGTCTGATTTGGAGTGTGGGACAGACAGTGATCGGGGCTGACGCCAAGGTTTTTGGACAGAGCAAGTAGAAGGCTGGAGCTCTCTTTACTGAGAAGGGAAAGGAGGCTGGGCACAGTGGCTCACACCTGTAATACTAACACTTTGGGAGGCTGAGGCAGGAGGACTGCTTGAAGCCAGGAGTTCAAAACCAACCTGGGCAACCAAGTGAGACCCTATCTCTATAAAAATAAAATAAAAGAGAAAAAGTGGGGGGAGGGGAGAGAGAGAGATGGGAAAACTTTGGACAGATCAGGTTCTGAAAGCTCTATGTGTCTGGGGGCACAGGGAGAGGATGGAGTTCTGTTTGGATACTATTAGGTATCTGAGATGCTATTAGGTATCCAAGCAGAGATTAGGAAAAGAAAGCTGGACACATATATGAGCTGGAGATTGAGGGGGTGGTCCAAGCTTGCACTTGCAATGTGAGAGTCCTCAGGGCATAAAAGCCACGAGGCAGGACATGACTGCTAGGGAGTGAGTCTGGAGAGGGAGGGGCTGTGCCCTGCAGTGGTGCCTCCTTTTAGAAGTTTGGGAGACAGAGAGCAGCCAGCTGGTATGGAAAGCCAGAGCAGGGCGTGGTGTCCTGGACACTCAGGGCAGAGAGGCCATAAGGTCAGGAGGGAAAGGCCACCAAGGCAGGAGGTGCAGAGACCAAGTGAGATGGAGACTCACCCTCTCATCTGCCACAGGAGGGCAGGCGCCCCTGGAGAGGCCCGACTTGGGCAGGTTTAGAAAGAAAGAAAATGGACACAAGCGAAAACAGACAACTCTTTCGAGGAACTAAGGAGAGGACAGTGACTAGACTCGGGTGACGCAAGGGTGAGTGCACCGATGGAAACCCCTGCTGACAGCGAAGAACCGACATGGCCGCTGCTGCCAGAGATGCTGTGCCCGGGCGAGAGCTGCCAGGGCTGTTGACTCCAGGAGGCCTGGGCTGATGGACTGCCATCCTGTGACATCAGGGGAGGCTGGTAGGTGGCTGGTGGAGCGCAGACACACATCTCACTCACTGAGTGTGGGAACTCCTTGACATCTGCTTACTCAGCAAAGACACAAGCAACTGTATATATATATTTTTTTTTGGAGATGGGGTCTTGCTGTCCCCCAGGCTGGAGTGCAGTGGCACGATCTTGATCTCGGCTCACTGCAACCTCCGTCTCCCAGTTCAAGTGATTCTCCTGCCTCAAACAGCTGGGATTACAGGCATATGCCACCACGTTCGGCTAACTTTTGTATTTTTAGTAGAGATGGGGTTTCACCATGTTGGCCAGGATGGTCTTGATTTCTTTGACCTCAAGATCCACCCACCTTGGTCTCCCAAAGTGCTGCGATTACAGGTGTGAGCCACCGTGCCCAGCCAAGCAACTGTATCTTTAAGAACAAAATTATAGGCCGGGTGTGGTGGCTCAAGCTTATAATCCCAGCACTTTGGGAGGCTGAGGTGGGTGGATCATGAGGTCAGGAGTTTGAGACCAGCCTGACCAACATGGTAAAACCCTGTCTCTACTAAAAATTGAAAAAAAATTAGTTGGGCGTGGTGGTGCATGCCTGTAATCCTAGCTACTTGGGAGGCTGAGGCAGGAGAATGGCTTGAACCCGGGAGGCGGAGGTTGTTGTGAGCCAAGATCACGCCGTTGCACTCCAGCCTGGGCAACAGAGTGAGATTCCCATCTTAAAAAAAAAAAAAAAAAAAATTACAATGCAAATGTGGTTTCAGCCTTAATTTAGGTGAAGCCTGGTTGAGTAAAAGTGCCAGGCATTCTTTGGCCAGAAAGGCCTGAGTTCAACTTACTTGACTTTGAGAGAAACGCCCTGTGGAACTCCGATGCTGACAGCTGCACCCAGAACGCTGTGCCTGGAGATCTTCCTCTCAGCGCCATACTCCACCACCGTCCCAAAGAAGCCTGCTCTGCAGGAAGGGAACGCAGTCTGTGCCTGTGTCCCCCTCATTCATCACTTCGGGGGCAGCTGTCATTTGGGAAGAGGGCAGGTGCCTGTCCCTTCCCTCCCTCCTGCCTCCTCAACCCCCAGAGAGCAGATTCATGACATAAGAAAGTCGGGACACCCATGGTCTACTTCTTCTATGACACTCTGAGTTCGAGGGCTGGGACTGTAGTGTTAAATCCCCCACAGCCTCAAAATAGGAGGCACTCCAAAAATGTCACACACATGTATTCACATGACCAGGAATCTTATACCAGCTGGCTCCACTGTGAAGACCCACAAGCAGAGCCAGCGTGCTTCCGCTTTAGCCAGGCCGGGACTTACTTGAGGGATCCTTTTACGCGAGTCTGATCGTCGTCTTGGAATTTGTGCTGATAGCTGATCAGTGCAAAGGAGTGAGGGATTCCCAGCTGGGGAGACAGAGGGTGCAAGGACGTGTGACTCGGGGGGAGGTGGGTGTCTGCCCTCCCATGAGCTCCGGGCATTGGCTGCACACATGCCTTTAGGGCAGGGGTCACGGTCTGGCAGTTGCACCAAGTGCATGACGGTTTATTTTTTATTTTTTTGTTGAGACACAGTCTCACTCTGTCATCCTGGCTGGAGTGCAGTGGTGCAATCTCAGCTCAATGCAACCTCTGCCACCCGCGTGCAAGCTATTCTGCCTCAGCCTGCCGAGTAGCTAGGATTACAGGTACCTGCCACAGTGCCTAATTTTTGTAGTTTTAATAGAGACAGGGTTTCACCATCTTGGCCGGGCTGATCTTGAACTCCTGACCTTGCGATTAACCAGCCTTGGCCTCCAAAAGTGCTCAGATTACAGGCGTGAGCCACCACCCCTGGCATGATGGTTTATTAGCAGCCAGTATTTAAAAACTGGGTGATTTTGTAGAAAACCCAGTTCCCTAGCTTTTCACAAGAAATGAAAAGCTCTGGTGAACCTGAGCCTGTGCTCTTAGGTGGCAGTGGCTGGTGAGAGCCGAGGAGCCACCCCTGTGTGGGGCAGCTTCTCATGTACCAGCCCTGGCCTGGCCGCAGTGGCGTCCGAGGGCAAGATTCTTCGGTGGGGCATCATCTGCCCACCCCGATTCTGTGGGCTGCTCCCACCAGACATTAAGATGTAGCTCTGGGCCGGGTGCGGTGGCTCAAGCCTGTAATCCCAGCACTTTGGGAGGCTGAGGTGGGTGGATCACTAGGTCAAGAGATCGAGACCATCCTGGTCAACATGGTGAAACCCCGTCTCTACTAAAAATACAAAAAATTAGCTGGGCATGGTGGCGCGTGCCTGTAATCCCAGCTACTCAGGAGGCTGAGCCAGGAGAATTGCCTGAACCCAGGAGGCGGAGGTTGCGGTGAGCCGAGATCGCGCCATTGCACTCCAGCCTGGGTAACATGAGTGAAACTCCGTCTCAAAACAAACAAAAAAACAAACAAAAAAAGATGTAGCTCTGCTTTAGGATGACCCGACACAGCTGCCACAGGTGCCTGAGGGCAACTGCATTTCATACTCGCAGCTTCCACCTAGTAACTGGAGCGTGGGCACTGAGAGCCTGCCCCTCAGGGCCCTTTGTGGGTTTAGACCTAGTGGTGATCACGACGCAGGATTTCAGGGGCACGATGAGTGCCTCGGGATGGGGGGGGTCCTCCCAGAGCTCTGTCTGCAGAGACCATGGCTGCTTGGCTCACCTGCAGGGCCACAGTGAAGTGGCTGGTCTTAGTGTCCCGGACGATGCTAGTGTTCATGGCTGACTGGATGCCCCACCGCCACTGCAGGTAGCCCACGGTGTTCTTGTCTAGGTTCCGAGCTAGGACCGTGGTCAGGCCAGGTCGGATTCCACGGGATGAAAACTGCAGAGCACAGTTTGTTGTCACAAAGCTGGAGGGACACACAGACAGAATAGGTTCTGGATGGCACTTGCTCTCAGCTGTTCTTTGTCACTTCCTCTCTGCCACCGTCCCAAAGACCTTACTTACTGTCACGTCTATACATCCCTGTACCGACTCCCAGTAAAAAAAGCAGGCGGTCAGGCCTCTATCCACATGGGGCAGGGGGTGAAGAGGGTGCTGGCCAGAATTTTCCCAGTAATCTCCCAACTCCCCTCATCCGCCCTAACTTTAGCTACAATCAAAGAGGCACCTGAATGTCTGCGTTCCTAAGCCAACAGATGCAATCCCACTCAAGTTAGAATGGATGGAGGCCAAGGGGTGCAAGTCAGAATCACCTACGGAGTGTCTCATATTAAGCAGTCCGGGACAGTGGTGCCCAAACTACCGCACGCTGGAATCACCCGGCTCATCCACGAGTTATGGCTGGCTGGCCTCTCTGCCCGCATGCTGATTTCTTCAGTGTGGGCTTGTAGTGTGAAGTGTCCCGATGATTCCAATGTGCAGCAGAGTTTGAGAATCACTCACCTAGAGGACACCCAGACCTGTGGAACCAGAATTTCTGGGTGGAGGCCCTGGCATCAGTATGTTTTTGGAGCTGCAGCGTGATCCTGAAGTACACCTACAGCTGGGTACTAGTGACAGAAACTACATGCAAAGTGAGCACAGGAAACTGGTTCCTGAAAAGAGCCTCTGCAGTTTCTTTCCAAGGGAGTCCAGCCCCATCTTCTGGTTGAAAATGGCTATTTCATGTTACTAACAGGAATTCACACTTCATTCAAGGTGCTGAACAGCGGGTTTCTTTAGTAAAGAGCTCAATATAAGTAGCCTAAGTTTAGTTTCTTTCTCCTTTTCTAAGCTTTGAAGGTGATTTTTTGGCATTAAAATAACAGTAGGCAGGCTCAGTGGCTCATGCCTGTAATCCCAGCACTTTGGGAGGCTGAGGAGGCAAATCGCTTGAGCCCACGAGTTGAACAGTCTGGGCAACATGGCAAACCCCCCGTTTCTACAAAAAGACACACAAAATTAGCCGGCTATGGTGGCGCACCCTGTAATCCCACCTACTTGGAAGGCTGAGGAGGAAGATCATCTCAGCTTGGACAGGTCGATTTTCTTTTTTTTTTTTTTTTTTGATGTTGTTTCACTCTCGTTGCCTAGGCTAGAGTGCAGTGGCACGATCTTGGCTCACTGCAACCTTTGCCTCCTGGTTTCAAGCCATTATCCTGCCTCAGCTTTTCAAGTAGTTGGGATTACAGGAGCCTGTCACCACATCCAGTTAATTTTTTGTATTTTTAGTAGAGATGGGTTTCAACATATTGGCCAGGCTGGTCTCAAATTCCTGACCTCAGGTGACCCACCCACCTTAGCCTCCCAAAGTGCTGGGATTACAGGCATGAGCCACTATGCCTGGCCAGCTTTTCTTTTGAGATAGGGTCTCGCTCTGTCACCCAGGCTGAAGTGCAGTGGTGTCATCATGCCTCACTGCAGCCTCAACCTCCTGGCCTCAAGCAATCCTCCCACTTTAGCATCCTGAGTAGCTGGGACTACAGGTGTGTGCCACCACACTGGCTAATTTTTGTATTTTTTTTTTTTGAGACAGAGTTTCGCTCTTGTTGCCCAGGCTGGTGTGTAATGGCGCGATCTCGGCACACCGCAACCTCTGCCTCCCGGGTTCAAGGGATTCTTCTGCCTCAGCCTCCCGAGTAGCTGCGATTGCACGCATGCGCCACCATGCCTGGCTAATTTTGTATTTTTAGTAGAGATGGGCTTTCTCCATGTTGGTCAGGCTGGTCTTGAACTCCTGACCTCAGGTGATCCACTCGCCTTGGCCTCCCAAAGTGTTGGGATTACAGGTGTGAGCCACCGTGCCTGGCCAATTTTTGTATTTTTTGTAGAGTCAAATTTTTGCCATGTTGTCCAGGCTGGTCTCCTGAGCTCACGTGATCGTCTCACCTGGCCTCCTAAAGTGCTGGGATTACAGGTATGAGCCACCATGCTTGGCCCCTGAGGCAGCTTTTTTTTTTTTTTTGAGACAGAGTTTCCGAGGCAGCTTTTAACCAGCATCTGAGGTGACCAATCTAAGTTGACAGGGTCAGGACAACACTGATGTGTGTACAGATACTGTTCCCCCTGCGGTTCCATTCTAAGCATGAACCCCAGTCCCCTTCCCAGACCTACTGAATCCAATTGCCTAGAGCAGGGCGTGTGGCGCTGTGCTGTGAGCAGTGCCCAGGTGATGCCCCACAGCAGCATGTCCTGCATCCCTTGCATCTTTAAAAAAACATTTTTTTTTTTCGGGGGCAGTCTTGCTCTGTTGCCCAGGCTGGGGTGCAGGGGTGCAATCTTGGGCCACTGTAGCCTCGACTTCCTGGGTTCAAGCGAGCCTCCCACCTCGGCCTCCCAAAGCCCTGGGATTCCAGTTGAGAGTCACAGCCGGCTCCCTTCCTTATGCGTCTGTCAGACGCACTGCTTTGGTGCCTCTGCTTGAGCAGCCTCTGACTGCCCTACAGGTCACATCCTCCTCCTGTCTCGCATGATCTCTCCCAACGGCAGGCTGACCTACAAGCCTGCCTGTGTTCCCTGCCCTGTGCCCCATAAATGACCAGACTAGTGGGCAGAGATTGGGTCAATCCCTGTAGGGCCTGGCAGGCACACAGATACATGTCTCGCTGGAAGTGTATAATAACTTCCTTTTTTTTTTGAGACAGTTTTGCTCTGTTGCTCAGGCTGGAGTACAGTGGTGTGATCCTGGCTCACTGCACCCTCTGCCTCCTGAGTTCAAGTGATCCTCCCACTTCGGCTTCCTGAGTAGCTGAGACTACAGGCAAGCGCCACCACGCCCGATTAATTTTTGCATTTTTAGTAGATGGGGTTTCACCATGTTGGCCAGCCTGGTCTCGAACTCCTGACCTCAGGTGATCCTCCCACCTCCAAAAGTGCTGGGATTACAGACATGAGCCACTGTGCCCAGCCTAGAGTCCATGTTTGATAAGAAAGTTAATTCACACCACTGTGCCTGGCTGGAATTGTAATAACTTTCTTATCAAACATATTTCTCAGGCTGGGTGCAGTGGCTCATGCCTGTAATGGCAGCACTTTGGGAGGCCAAGGTGGGAGGATCACCTGAGGTCAGGAGTTAGAGACCAGACTGGATGACAATGTGAAACCCCATCTCTACAAAAATTAGTCAGGTGTGGTGGTGCCCACCTGTAGTCCCCGCTACTCGGGAGGATCACTTGAGCCTGGGAAGTTGGGGCTGCAGTTGAGGAGCCAAGACTGCGCCACTACGCTCCAGTCTAGACAGAGTGACAGCGAGAACCTGTCTCAAACCAAAAAACAAAACAAAACAGGTACTCTAGGCTTGTGAAGTGGCTCATGCCTCTAATCTCAGTGCTTTGGGAGGCCAAGGTGGAAGGATTGCTGGAGACCAGAAGCTTGAGACCAGCCTAGGCAATATAGCCAGACCTTATCTCTAAACAAAACTAAAAAATGAGCCAGCCATGCTGGCATGTGCCTGTAGTCCTAGTTTTTCGGGAGGCTGAGGGAGGAGGACTGCTTGAGCCCAGGAGTTCAAGGCTGCAGTGATTGGGCTATTGCACGCTAACCTGGGCAACAGAACAAAAACCTTGTCTCTAAAAGTAAAATGCAATACGATAAAATAAAATAGGCTAGGACCGGTGGCTCATGCCTGTAACGCTAGCACTTTGCAAGGCCGAGGCAGGTGGATCACCTGAGATCAGGAGTTCGAGACTAGCCTGGCCAACATGATGAAACCCTGTCTACTAAAAGTACAAGAATAGCTGGGTGTGGTGCCACGGGCCTGTAGTCCCAGCCACTCGGGGAGGCTGAGAGAGGAGAATCACTTAAACCCAGGAGGCAGAGGCTGCAGCCAGCCAAGATCGTGCCACTGTACACAGCATGGGCGAGACAGAGTGAAACTCCGCCTCATAAATAAAATAAAATGAAATAAACTCCGTGTGATCCATTCTAGGACTCCTGTAGCTACATCTTCCCCCAGAGGAAAGAGGTGTTATTCACCCTCCCGCAAGTCTTTTATCTCAGCTCATACTGACAGCACTGCCCCCACTGCATGGGAACTAAAGACACTGCTCTTGCTCTAAAGAGACAGGGACACACTGTTCTAGGAGTGTGACATCATGGCAGCAGCAGAGATGACAGGAAGCAGAGGCTGGCTGGGGACTACATCTCTGGCATATGTCAGTCAACCTGATGGCGAAGCAGTCTGCCATTCTCTAGGACAAATAAATGATCCAAAAGTCTGTTCACTGACCAACTCTCCCTGAAGGCACTCTTCCCCATGGCCTCGTGGCACAGGTGAGGGAGGTGTGAGGCCTGGAGGGTGCAGCCTGGGCCGGGACTGGGACAAGGGTCTGGCCCCCGCAACCCAGCCTCTTCCCACCTGCACACTGCCTGGGCTTCACGCCAGTGCTGCACTTGCCCTTGATGTACACGGTGACCTTGAAGGACAGACAAAATAGTGGCAAAGACTGTGATAAAAAGAACACACAGTTCTAGTCTCCTAAGCCCACGAAGACCACCAAAGAGGAGCTGCTATCTTTCATATTTACCATCTTGGTGTGAGATTACGGAACAGCTTGAGACCAAATAAAGGCCCCTGTAGGTCTCCGGCTCCAAATTCCAACTGTTTAAAAAGGAAAAAGAGAAGAGAAGGCATTAATGGTGTTTTATCTCATAGCGGCAACCCGGGCTCAGGAATGTACCCCTGGGTATAATTCCTTCATTCAATTCACCGTCATGCCACGGCTCTAAAAGAAGGGAGCGGAAGATTGTTAATGTCTCATCTTAACCTCTGCCAAATGGAAATGTCTGCTGCCACGGATCCAAAGGAGACCCAGTTTTCAATGGGTCTCTCCAAAGAAAAAGTTGCTCACCTCTGATCGTTGCCTCCCAGGCTGAGGTCAGAAGAGACCAACTGGCTCCTCACAACCCTCCAGGTGCAGTGCCCTCACCTGCAGAGTGCCTTCTGCGGTCAGGTGTGCCCCCCGCCGCCACATGCACTGCCGATTCCTTTTTATTTTCTCCCTGTGCCAAATGTCTCCCAGGTGATTGGGGTGGTCCTCAGGGGCCTGACGTTAAAACCCAGCAGCAGTTCCACGCTCGCACAGCCTTGGAAGTCACAGCTGAGCCTGGCTGCTGTGTTTACTAGTCTGGGTGACTTTCAAGCAACTCTTCAATGTTAATTTGACGCAGCTCAATTTGTTCGGTAGAACTGGCAGTTAAATGGCCACCAATCAGTGAACCATTGCGCTGAAGAGAGCACCTGCCTTCTGAATTGTGCAGGGAAGTCAGCCCACAGGCTTTTTGCTCAAAGGGAACAAACACGCTGAGTTGCAGGGGCTGGACTTCTGGAAGTTGGCATCTCATAGGAAACCTTGTTTTTCTATCCTAATTTTAAACTGTGAGGCAGACTGACGGACTTCTCAGACATGAGACATATTTTTCTTTCTTTTTTCTTTGAGACAGGGTTTCGCTCTTGTCCCCCAGGCTGGAGTGCAATGGCGCGATCTCGACTCACTGCAATCTCCGCCTCCCGAGTGGCTGGGATGACAGGCAGGTGCCACCACGCCCAGCTAATTTTCATATTTTTAGTAGAGACGGGTTTTCACCATGTTGGCCAGGCTTATGAGACCTATTTTTCTTTTAGGGCCAGTCAACTTATGGAAGTTTGACACTTGGTACCATGTTGCACGATAACGGGGCCCCCTGGGTGGCTTTGGGGGTGAACTTTGAGAGTGTAAATGTTCGGAAATAAGGCTTTGCATGGACCACACAACTCAGCCAA